TTTATATATAGGATCCATTTACAAAACTCTGAAATCAGGAAGTACATTCAAACAAGACTGACACAATAGAACAACACACAAACCTTGCATAGGAAATTTAAGTTAAAAAGCATATCTGTAATTGCACTTGAAACTTAGATATTCAATGTTGAAGGGTAAGATGCCAGAGGTGAAATGATTAACTATACAGTGTGTGTTTGGTGCATGTATCTTCCTCCATATAATATATATATATATATATATATATATATATACTAGCAGTAGAGCCCGGCGTTGCCTGGGGATGTAACAGTAAGAGATAGATCAAGTATCGACCATCATAAAGACTGAAAAATAAAATTGACAAAGATTATTGTTTAAGGTTGATGGACATGCATGTCTTAATTAGTTTTTTTTTTTTTTTTTTTTTTTTATTTTTTACAAATTGGTCAAACAAAAACATTGTTTTCAATTGTTATGAGTCTATCAATTGAATAGAATTTTATTATAAACAATTGTCTTGTAAATGGAATTTTTAAAGCATTCTGAATGTAAAAATAAAGAAAAGTGTGCAAGACAATAAGAAACACTACCTGCCAAAAAAAAAAGTGAAGTTTTGTTGAAATTGGTTGAAAAATGTAGGAAATCCGATCCCATATATAAATGAACACACACACAAACAACCTGGGTTTTATAAGTATAACTCGATATAAGTTGTCCCCCTTTCATTCTGGCGAGTGATGCCTCTTAATCATGTTTTCAAATTGATTTTGTGCAAAAACAATTGTTTTTCCAATTTTTGGTACTGTCAGAACCACCGCAAGGTAATTTTACATAGTCCTGTGAAGTTTTGTTGAAATCGGTTAAAAAATGTAGGAAATCCGATCCAATATATAAACGTACAGACACACATACACACAATATCTGCATTTTATAATAAGTAAGATATATATATATATATATATATATATATATACACACACACACACAGTATGAGATTAAAAAAAAATGGTGCACCCATAGAAATGATGAACAAAATATAAAGCTTATTACTTTTGTATTTACATTTAACATGCCTAAGCATTGTTCTGACTTTGAGAAAGGCCAAGTTGCCGCTTTTCATGATCTTGGGCTGTCGAATAGAGCGATAACTGATAAGATTAAGCAAACTTAGTCATGTGTCTGCAAGTTAATCCAAAAGAAAAAGCAAACTGGAACATATAATAGATGTAGCGGATCTGGCCAACCACTAAAAACTACTAACAGGGAAGATAGAAACTGAGTTTGTCAATGCAAAAAAGATTGATTCACAACAGCACAAGATATTTCCAAAGTGGCTAGTTTGGTGTTTTTTTCAAGAACAGTCAGACGCAGGCTTAAAGCAAAAGGCATTGTTTCCAAATACATAAAAAAAAAACATTTGTATCTGAAAAAAAATCAACGGGCACAGTTGGCTTGGTGTAAAGCTCATTTACACTGGACTAAATCTGATTGGGATTATGTGGATTGATGAGAGCCCCTTTACTCTTCAATATGAATGATGCATACATGTTTGCTGTATGCCTGGTGGAACAAATATTCCAGTGACTACCAAGGCCACTGTTAAACATGACAAAAAAAAATCAATGTTTGGAATGCATTCTCAGCAGCAGGAGTTGGTAATTTGTATAAAATCAAAGAAATCATGGATCAGCATCAATACTACAAAATTCTTGTTAATAAAATGTGGCTTTCTGCTAAAAAGAAATGTTTTGCCCAAGGTCAATGCTTCATGTTCCAACATGATAATGATCCTAAGCATACTGCCTTAAAGAATAAGCATTATCTAGAGAGGAAGTGTGACTAGGGTAAATTTCAACTCTTCTAGTCAGAGTCCTGACCATAACTCAACTGAAAACCTTTGGGCCAATAATGGACAAACGAGTCCATAATAGGAAAGTTAACGCAGAAGATTAGATTTTTTGCGAATTAAAGAAATGCTGGAAAAATCTGTCAAAGAATGTTGACTTACTAAAGAATTTAGTCTATAGTATGCCACAAAAAATTAAGGCTGTTATTAAAGCAAAAGGTTACCCAACAAAATACTAAATCGTTTATTGACTTGTATAATGTACATATGTACACCTGTATGAATACCCTGTACTAATAAATGAATTCTGTTACTCACTTGTTTCGGTAAAAATACAAAAATCAATTTTCTATGGGTGCATCCATTTATTTATTTATCTCTATATATAAATAATGGCCAGCTACTCTCATTTTCAGAGCTGACCATATGTATCTAAGTCTGCCAGGGTGGCTAACTAATCCCTGCCTCAGGCACATTTGCATTTGTTCAACACTCACAGTGGTTTATACTGCAACTATGCTGAGCAGACCTTAGTTACAGTTTCTGGGAAAGAGCACATAACCTATCATGATCAGCATTTTGAACAACACCAGTACACTCAAACTCTCGGTCATGATGTCTTGTGACTTCATTCTAGCACAACCACTGAATAATCAATCTGGAATAATCACCAGAATCTGTTCAAGAACACTCAGAATTTGTACCCTCAATATTTACATAAAAAGGAGAAATACACTGAAAATACTTTTAAGCTCCTCCAATACCCTAATTAATTCATATTCAACATGAAACAAAAGGCTCATAGAATATTTTTAAAATTGAAAAACAGATCTTCCTGACAAATCCAATGAATCCTGTTTTATTGTTCTATCCACCAACTCTATCATAATTACAATCTAAAAGAATTTATCTATGCTCCACTTAAAATTTGTTGCAACTACTTCTAAAACAATAAAAGACTTAATACACAACAAAATAATAAACTAAAACTTGAAGGAGGAATTTACTCTATCACCTGTAATAATTGTCACAAGGAATTTAAATAAAAGATTATATGAACACAATAGGGATCTTTTACAAAGCAACGCATTAAATGCATTAGTTGCTTACCATAATGAGTCTAACCATATTTTTGATCTAAAAAATATGGTACTTTAATTAAAAGAGAAGTCATTTTACTAAGATGAAAATGTATAGAAAGTGCTTTAATAAAAAGTAAGTAAATTTATGTTCAGGTTCTTACATTTCACCTTGGAAGATCTCCTATTATCACAATGTTGGATATTTAATAACAAAAGTGAAGGAAACAAGAACAAAATGAAAAAGTAACTAAATGATATATTTAAAAAAAAAAAATTGGCTATTTGATTTATAGTCAATCACCTGTTACCCATCACCATGTGATGAACATAATTGATGTTTTCCTCAGTGATATCAGTTGCAGGACATCTTCACCTTGGGTCTTCTTCAAGACTCTCCCTTCTCCTAAATTCAGCTGCCCACTTTGTACTGTTAATAAAGCTGGAGCATCATACCCTAATGTAGCAATCATGTCAGCATGAGTGCTCTTCGGGCCTAAACCCTTTTACTGCAGGTACTTGATAAACTCACAATGCCAAATTTTTGTCCATTTTCAAGAGTAGTCACAAGTTACATTTGAAGTCTTCTTTGAACAATCAGCTGACAGTTTAATTTAAAATTCTTAGTGTCCCCTTTCCTTTGTGTATATGTAGTTGCATCAATGTAAACACTAATCTGATGAAGTTTGAAAAAATTTTTTCCACTTTGTCATAGATTTTTTCTAATATAAATTTATTCAACCACATATCTACCATTTCCTTTTGCCATTTTTGAGGTAGCTTCATGATTCTATCCTTCCAGATGGGTGATGAACTGGTCTGAGTTCTTCCTATTTTATAGGGATAAAAATAAGTGGTAATCCAATGGTGTATGGTCAGGTGAGTGTAGCAGATATAGTAGGGCATCCCAGCTAAGCTGGACCTATTTCTGCCAGGTCTGAAAAGGGATGTGAATTTGGGTATTGTCCTTATGGAAGATGACACCCTTCCAATTGGCAAATCCAAATACTTCTTCACTTGCTGCCTTCAATCAATCCTATTGGAACAGTATTTGTCTGATTTTGGAAGGAGCTTGTAATACACAACATAATACATAATGTCCTCCTAATCCCATCATATACAAAGCATCACTTTTTTCCAGATGCAGACTGAATTTTGAAGTGCTTAATCATAGCTAATTTCATTTTCTCTGACTGGACCTTTATTGCTCCACATTGTAAACAATATATTTTACATTGCCTGTGAACATTTTTTCAAAAATGGGTTTTTGTTGCATTTGAGCAAAGAATTGCAGATGTAAATACACACCATTAAAAATTTTTTCTGTTAAATCATGAGGCACCCAAACATTGTAGTGATTCACATATCCAAGCTTTTTCAAATGTCTTACAACAATTATATGAGATAGGACATTACAGAGATACTCCACCTGGATTATTCTTAATTAGCTTTTCGATTTGGTCATCATCAGCAACAGGAGGTCGGCAGAATGTTCTGTTTTCCAGATCAAAATTTCTGTTTCTGAATCTAGTGAACCACTTAATTAACAGTACCCTCAGCCATAGTGCATATCTTTTTGACTCTTTGTACAGTGTCTTTTTCATCCTAGAAATAAGAGTGTCATGATGAAAATGCACCTCATTTTCCTTCATTTTCATAAAATTCAGTCCACAAAAATTGTATAGAAAGATGTTAAAATTTCATAAATTTCAGTCATGTCAGAGACAAAAATCACATGTTCAAATGCTACCTATTGAAAAATGCTACAAATTTTTGTTCCAGCCTACTACAATCTTTTTCATACTGTCATTTTGTATCCAACTCCAATCCAAGAAATTAATACTAACTCTAATTGTATGATACTAACCCAGTTTGGAATTGTCAACATTTCAATACCTCAGCTACCTCTTCAGGATCAAAATAACACAACTTCTAACCTGCAGTGACTAGTTTAGTAACGTTCCAAATCCATTGGGCAATCTTTGGAGCTATGATGACCAGTTGAGAGCACATGTGGGGATAGTGTCCCATTTGTTGCAGCTCCAGCCATGTTTCTTGTCTTTGGAGTGTCATACTTTAACTAGTAGAGTAAATTGAAACACTGGTTCCCATACGATCACTGAAGTTAAGCAACATCAAGACGAGTCAGTACCTAGATGGGTGACCACTTGAGAATATCAGGCACTGTAAGTGTGGATGTGCAGGTGGTGTAATGGATAATGGCTTGGAATTGTTAATGAAAGAGTTGAATTCCAATTGTTGGGTTTGTTATATTCTCTGGCACAAATGCCCATGGGAAAGTTATGAATTCACTTTTTCTCCCCCAACTATGAGTTAATTAGTAAGGCTTGTATCACTAAATCATTATTTCCTCTTCCCACCCACCACCAAAATTCTCACAATCTAAAAATATTTCCTGGCTTTATATAACCTGCAAATGTTTGATAAACCATAGGAAATCAATCAATCAATCAATAGTACAGTAGAGTGTACAGTATCATTTGGTGCCATGATCAGGATTCTTGACCCTGGGAGTTATCATAGATAGACAAAGCAAATATGCTACAAACTTATTGATGAACCTATATATGTGTCTATAATTTTATGCATAAAACTTATGAACCATATATAACAGTATATACAGAACTTATCTACTGTATATAACCCTATATAATTATATACATAAAACATATAAAAATGAATTCATAAAACTTATTTTCATTTCCTTCCACAGAATGAGTAAAATAAAAAACATTTTGAATGGCATCTTCAAAAATTAAAACTAAACTAGCAGTAGAGCCCGGCGTTGCCCGGGGATGTAACATAAAGAGATAGATCAAGTATCGACCATCATAATTTTATTATAAACACTTGTCTTGTAAATGGAATTTTTAAAGCATTCTGAGTGTAAAAATAAAGAAAAAAGTGTGCAAGACAATAAGAAACACTACCTGCCAAAAAAAAATGAAGTTTTGTTGAAATCGGTTGAAAAATCCGATCCCATATATAAATGAACACACACACAAACAACCTGGGTTTTATAAGTATAACTTGATATGAGTTGTCCCCCTTTCATTCTGGCGACAGAATCATGTTTTATCGTGTTTTCAAATTGATTTCGTGCAAAAACAATTGTGTTTTTCCAATTTTTGGTACTGTCAGAACCACCAAAAAGGTAATTTTATTTTGAGTCCTGTGAAGTTTTGTTGAAATCGGTTGAAAAATGTAGGAAATCCAATCCAATATATAAACGTACAGACACACACACACACAATCTGCGTTTTATAATAAGTAAGATGTTGATTCTTAGTGATAGAAAAAAAAATTAAGGTATTTCTAAGACATGCTATGTTTTGCTGCTCCCAAACACTCCCCCAAATTTTAAAGGAAGAAATTGGAAAAAAGTTTTTTCCTTGTACTTTATAGCCAGCCTTTCCCACTATCCCCAATTTTACCCACTGAATAGCCTATTTCAGCATGAAAACCTGACTAATCATAACAAATTCATCACAGGCCATGAAGAAGTACCAAATTTATGGTAACTATTTAGAATTCAATAGCTAGAAGAGAAGTTAACTCCCAGATGCAGAGTTGTTTTTGGAGATATTTTATAGGAAAAATAATGCATCTTATAAACAGCAAAATGTGGTAAGATATTTTTTCACGTTTACTTTTCCTGTTAACAGTATTTTTATTCAGAAATGTATTAAATATTTTTATTAGCCACATCTTTCTAAGTTTATACCAGACAACAAACTGACTAAAACTTCGCGTGCTATAAGGCCACAAAAAATAAATTACAATAGTTTTATTTTGCACCATGTGATAAAATTTTGTAGCCATGTTACTACACAATAGGAAATGTTCCTGAAGGTTTTACTAATATATGAACTGATTAACAAAGAATGTATCCTCACTGCATTTTAGCTAAAAACATACAAGCTATTATAACTCTATTATTTCACTATTATAACTATATTTACTTCAGCATGACTCATATGAGTGATCTTTATATAACTCTGTCATTTCCTTTGATAACTGTAGCCCTAGGGCTATGAGTATGGTTGATTACTATCATATGTGCTTATCTAATTATCTATGGTTTAAGTGACTTGAAACTTTAGGAAACAATAGCTAACCTTCAGAAACTTGAATGACTTAGCTTTTATCAGATAAAAGGAAAAAGAATGTAATCTCTAAAGTGAAAAGAGCCAGGTCGTCAAGCTAATATCTCAAATGTGACTTCTTTGCCAAGTACAAGTATTTTTTAACATAATTTCGCTTCATAAAGGTTTTTTATATGACCAAGTTATTTTTGATGAAATGTTACGTGCTGATTTACTAGACCATTTTCCTATAAAGTTTTTAATTATTTTCTCTAAGAACTTTAGAATTAACTCATTTTGTTTTGCAAATTTTATTTTGATATAGACAAAAGGACAATACTTCATACTACACTCCTTAAACTATCTTTGAAGCTTTTTAATATTGTCTGTATTATAAAGATTTGATTTGCAGCCTATTTATAAGGGGTATAAAGTAGTACTTCCATTGTGTTATAGGCAGGGCTTCAGACCTCTACTTTTTACTGGAACTGAAAAATAAACAGAAAACTAAATTTGTTTTCTTGGTCTCAATGTATGACAATGCTGTTGAAATGAGCTGTATCATTTGATAAAAATCATTACATTCAGAATAAATAATAAAACTTCATTTTCATTTTTTTTTTTTTTTCAGAGCATTAGCTTCTAAAATTTGTATATAAGTCTTATATGTGAAAAAACGTCTATGGGCCAAATTCTAGAAAATAAATATATACAAAAAGCAAAAAAGATTGTGTATTTAAAATCAAAACAAAAAATGTTTATAGTAGGATAACATCTAAAAATATTCATTTTTTGAGAGGATCAGATAAAAAATACAGAATCAGGAATCTTTAAAATTTAACATTTGATTTAGCGCACTATAATTTTTTATTTTGTGGTGTCATGCTGTAGTACTTCTCTGTTTCAAGTCATATCCTAAAATTGAGGGACATGCTCTTACAAGCTTACTAACACTATGGTTATCAGATGCCAGAGGTTGAGTGTCTTAAGTAATATCTTATAACTTACACTCAAACTATTACAAGGAAGGTTGATAGCAATCTTCAGTATAGAGGGATCCTAATGTTTTTTTCCTGGATTCAAAACAATAATCACTGGTAGTTTTGCAACTAACAAAATGTAAGAAAATAATAATTCTCCTTAGTATAATGATTTTCTTATCTTTTTTTATCTAGTGTCTCAGAAAGTATTTTTTCAATTTCCAATGGACAGTCTACAACTTATTATTCTGTGAGAATTCAGCTCAATAGGGATATGACAGCTTGCTTTAGTAGTGAACATAATTTAGTTAGTTTAGTCCCTTTTGAATTAAATATGTCTTCTAAAAATGTGTGTAGAAACAAATAAGATTAAACTTTTAAATATGATAATATAAAAGTCCTTAATTATTTAGAGAAGTCAAATTATTCTAATCTCCAAATTGACTATAAATAAATAGAACCCTTCATTATATTAACAATTTACTTAAAAACATTTTATGCACATTCCTATGCATAGTGGAAATACAGTGATTATATAAAAATCATCTAAAACATAAATGAACAGTTTCAAATTAAATTACATCTTTAAGAAAAAAAATGAATGCTATGTCTTGCTAGACATTTTTTCTCTCCAGAATCTATCTTATATATCTATAATTCATTCATGCTTAAAGTATTGCTGCCACATATGGTCCAGTCATCCTGCTATCTATCTAGAGATCCTTGATAAAATCCAAAGAACAATCAGCAATATCATTGGTCCTGATCTGGTACCTCAGTTTTAGTCACTTTTCCACCACTGTAAAGTTGCCTCCCTGTGTCTTTTCTATAAATACTTACATGGCAACTGTTCAAATGGGTTCTTCATTATAGGACTTAGACTTAATGAATGTAAGTGCAGTAATAGACTGGCAACAAGGTCTCATCAATATACAGTTGAGTTGGTTAGATGCAACCATAAGTTCTATGCTAACAGTCTCTTTTTGCACACTTTCCACTTTGGAACTCCTTTCTGGCTCCATGCTTTCCAGCCAACTTTAATCTTCAAAAATTTAAATGTAATGTCAATCGCTACCTACTGTCCTCCTGATTACTCGTTTTCTGTACTCACTCCTTAGTGGTGTTTCTGTTTTCTAATTCTCCCATACCCAGTAACCACTTGTGTTTCACTGGCTTTATGTTTCACAGTGGAGGCTTGTATTTGTATTAAGTCGGTCCTAAAATAGGTTCGACATACAAAACGTTAGGAACTTGATATAATAGGTATAACGCAGAGTAATCTAGTTGTGGTCGCCGATACTTTAGTATTCGACTGTCATCCAACATCAACTAACTCACCGACTCTCTGACTCCACTCCTTACTCCTACTTATTATAGGTGGGAGAGTCTATTAACTATAGAATAGGTATCTTCCACCATAACACTTTAATGCCTTGCTTGGGATGAACTTGATTAAAAAAAGTTTGTGTCAAGTATTAATATCTTTTTAGGGAAAATTAAGTGATATCTTTTAAGAAAAGTATTTCTCTAAATAAATTCAATTTTACTATCAAGATATCTAGATAGATAGCAGGATCACTGGACCATATGTGGCAGCAATACTTTAAGCATGAATGAATGGTAGACTTATAGATATATAAGATAGATTCTGGAGAGAAAAAAATGTCTAGCAAGTGGATACCATATCTGTGAAATTCACAGTAGAAAAAGATAAGTTGAACATTTAATTTTATTTGTTGTCATTAATCTCTTGATATTGAGCATTTTAATTACAAAAAGTTGTCTTCTTCTAAGTGTCATGTCCCTTCATGACATAAGAAATCATGACTCTCTACATTTTCCTATCTATTGTAAATATTAATAAATTTTGTCTTTTTATCTCTCCTAAACCTTGTTCTGCCATCCGTTGACTCAAGTTCATTAAGTTATATGTTGTTTCCTCTGTCCCTCTTATCTTCAATCTGCCCTGTGAGTATAAGATTTTCCAATCCCTCTTTCCTCATGTGCCCTAGAAATTTCAACTGTCTCTTTCTGATGTTAAGTATAGGTGTCCTTTTTATTTCTATTTTCTCTAAAACTTTGTCATTACTCACATGTTCAGTCCATGGTATCCTTTCTGTAGAACAACATTTCTGTTGCTTTAAGTCACTTCTTCTGTGAGGAGATTGTCCAGCATTCACTACCTGAGGAGGACTGATATTACATAACAGTTCAGTACTTTTTTCTTTGTTTCTAACAAATTTTTTTTGTTTCTTAATACTCTGCTTAGCTTTTGGAATATGTCTTTGACTATCCCAATGTGCACTTTCCATCCTCTGTTAAAACACTTCCCAGGTATTTAAATTTTTGTAATTGTTTGATTTTGGTATCACTTGCATGTTGGTCTATTCCTTTTGCTAATAACCATGCACTCCATCTTCTTGCAATTGATGTTTAGTCCTTTCTTCTCACTTTCCTTCACTACCTTCTGTAGGAGTTCTTGTAGTTTCCTTTCCATATTTGCTATCAACACTGTATTGTCTGTATATCTTAAGATTGTGGCCATCAATAATGAATCCTGGTAGGACTTCTAATTCTCTCAGAATCCAAAGAGTACTTGCCTTAAAAGTGTTATTTTCCAGAAATACACAAATTGACTTTTTTTAATTTGCAGAGCACAATTTTTGTTATTGTTAATGTGTATAACAGGAGTTAATTTGCAATCTGACACAGTTATTAGCAGAATTTTGATCTGAAATTTTCACTGTATAATGTTTAATCTATGTGAATGATATTCATCACTGAATTAAGTGTATTGACAAGGAAGGAGATTATGTTGAAAAAATATTTGTTGTATAAAATAAAGGATTTCTTTTCTCCTCATTAGGTTGCTGATTTTTTGATGTACCTCTGTAAGCAGTTACAGAATTTCTCTACAAATAATTCAGCTCCATTACTAATCTGTATAACTTGACTGAAAATTCTTAATTATTAAAACAACTAAACGATGTCAGAACAGGACGATAAAAAGAAATTTCAGTCAAGAAAACGGAAATTAAGTGAAAATGAGCTGGATGTAAACCAAGATACAAACAACATCAAACAAATCTGCCAATCAGAAAATATCTTCACTTTTGTGCCTCGTTCATTTCCTTTGTCCATTTCTGAGAACTTCCTTTTGATAGAACAGGACCAATGCCAAAATCTACAAAAGATTCAGTTCACAGACCCTGTAGATTATATCTACAACCCCCTGGAATATGCATTTGAGACACATACAGACTTTGTTCACCGATTCTGCAATTCTGAGAAGAAAGTTCTTTTTCTAGGAATGAACCCTGGTCCATTTGGCATGGCACAAAACGGAGTAAGTACAAGTTTCTTTTACTTATCAAGTCAACTTTCTTAAATATTTTATAATGCACTATAAAAATATGAGTCCTGATATTCAAAGGATAAAAAAAATAAAATTACATTGTTTAACATCTGATTTCACTTAAACTGTTTTTATAAACCAAGCTGGTCATTTTATATTAATTATATTGAATAGGTAAAAATTTAATGAAGATTGGGCTATATTTTAAGTTATTTAACCAATGATCTCATGGGTATTATAAATTTGTGAAAACTTTCATTTATTCTAATGATTACATATAAAATAACTATGATTTAATAAACTAATTTATCAAAACTTTCATTCAGACTAATAATTAGTTCTTTTAATCATCTTAGAGAACCTTTTCCGCCTTCCATCATGGATGACGCTAACCTCAAGAACAACTCATTGCACCTTCTTGGTGTCACATTTTCCATTGTCATGAAATGGAATAACTATATTGAATCAATTGCTGCTAAGAAAGTTAGTTCACTGTGTTGTGCTAGACAATTTTTTTTTTTTGACAGAATCTATCTTGCACATTTATAAGTCTACCATTCATCCATGCATCAAATATTGGTTTGATGTTTCTGCTATGTATTTACAGATTCTTGACAAAATCCAAAAAATCTGCAACGTTATTGATCCTGACTTGGTATCTTGGCTTCAGTCACTTTCTCACCATAACAACATAGTTTCCCTGTATCTTTTCCATAAATATTTTCATGGAAATCATTCTAACAAGCTTTTGTCTTTGGTACCTAGATTTCATGAATTTCATAGTAATAGATTGGATGTTAGGTCTCATAATTTCACTGTTGAAATTGCTAGATGTACCTGTAAGTTCTATTCTAATAGTTTCTTCTCCAGCATTTCACATCTGTTGAACTGCCTTCTGGTTTCCTCTCAAATTTTCAAAAGTTTAAATGCAACGTCAGTCGCCATCTTCCGTCTCCTAGAATCCTGTTCATTTATTGTTCACTCTGTTTCACTCTCAGTAATCCATTGTATCTTAATGGTTTTTATCGCCTTGCTGGAGGTTAAATTAAAAACAAATACGATGCAGAGCAAATACTGAAAACATATAAGAAGTAAGCAGATAATGCATCTCACATGCAAACAGAAATAGTGGATGTAACAGTAAGCATTCAAAAAGTTATTTATTTATGTTCTGCAAGAAAGCTTATGCAGAGTATTAATTTCATTAGAATCTCTACAAAACCAAAACATTAACCTAAAAACTCAAGTTCTTAAATAATATTGTTTGATCAAGACTTTTATATGGATGCCATGCATGGTACCCAACTTGTTCAGAAATATCTAAACTGCCAGCTGTATGCAACCACTTTCTCTGATTGATGATTAAAAATTGCTTTGAGCAAATGAAGCCTGTAGGTGTTAGTGAGGACCATCCTTCCTCAAACCTCATGGACTGGCATTACATAATCACAAACAAAGAATTGTACCAAATAACAGAAAACACATCACTTAAGGACTTTCAACAGCGGCAACAACTAAAATGGATAGAACATGTAACTTAAAGAGAGAATAATGATGTAATCATGATTCTGATGTTCCACACTGCTTCAAACAAAAAAGCAAGGAAGGAAGCCATCATTTATTACTGGAATTCTCAGAGAAGACACAAATGTTGAAGAGATGAACTCTACACTTTAAGAGCATCCTCAACTACCCAACCTCAAGTAATGATAGCCCTGTCAGATTAAGACTTTTTCTTTTGATGTCATGCATGGCACCAAATCTGTTCAGAAACTGTCAGTTGTATACAACTGCTTTCTTAAATTGATGGTTAACGTTGGCTTCAAGTGAATGAAACTCTTAGTGTTTAGTGAGAACCATCCTTCTTTGGCCATTCTTCCTTGAACCTCATGAATTGGCATTACAGAATCACAAACAAAGAACTGTACCAAATAACAAACTCTGTCACTTGAGGATTTTCAACAGTAGTAACAAAATGGGTAGCACATGTAACTTGAAAAGCGAATAACGACATAATCAAGATGCAGATGTTTCACACTACACCCACCTACCCCCACAAAAAAAAGCAAGTATTGGAAAGAGCATTAACAGCTACCAGATATGAGAAACCTATTTTCCTGAATTGTTTGAAGAGAAAGATTTAATAAATTTCAACTGAGAGCAGCATTGACTGCTTAATCAATGAATGCCAAATGTTTACTTATAAGGAAATGGCTAATATTACCATTACCAAAATTGTAAGTATTTGGCATCTTTACATAAGAATTTGTAAAAGCTCACTTCTGATTGAGAATTTGTCTTGGTACAAGAAAAGATTGTTTACATGGAAATAAATGATTGTATAATACCATTAAAGTGTTGAAACATAGCATTTAATGATTTAGCCAACAAATTTTTCAAATTTTTACCTAAAATTTGTTCCAGCAAATTTTGGTACCCAATCTGGATGTGGATGTTGTGCATTGAAAATGAGGAAGAAAGTGATTATCAGTGATCTGGTACTAAGGCAAGTATTACTGATAGGATAGGAATAATATATAGAGAGAGTTATTATTTGGTAGCAGTGTGTTACAATAGAAATGCATTGCAAATTATTCTACTACAGAAATATTTATTGAAAATCAGGAAGAAAAAGATTTTCAGTGATCTGGAACAAAGCTAAATATTATTACTGACAATAGAAGTATTTTATGTATAATCTAGGTACAGTACTAATGAATTTACAATAGAAATGTATTATCAATGATTTTAATATTGAAATTTATTGAAAATCAAGAATAAAAGAATCTTCAGTCATGGAACAGGCACATGTTACAAGATAGACCTATTATAAGTGTACTTAAAAAGAATAGTTCTTTATATTAAACAAGAACAAAAAGTTGTTTCGTTCACCTCTGAATTTTGTTTAACTATCTGCTTTCTGAATAAAATGTTAACTAAATCTGTATAATTTTAATCTTCTAAGGTTCCATTTGGCGAGGGAAACTTTGTGCGAGATTGGTTGCAGATAAAAGGAAATGTCTACAAACCTAGCCGAGAACACCCAAAACGAATAATAGATGGCCTGAAATGCACAAGGTCAGAGGTAAGTGTTAGATTAAAATTTGAGGCATAGATAAATTAGATAAGTACTTACTGGTATTGTGAACTTACCACCTTCAAATGTTTCCAACCATATTCTATGCAGGCCATGATAGTTGTTATAGTAGAGTTACCTGGACTGATACTCTCCTAGTTGTGAAATGGTCCTGTTGCATTCCTTCAGCTGATTTGGATAGTAAGATTCACATATATTGAATTTGATATTTTTCTTTGATTCCATTTGTTCAGTCCTTTTTCAGGATCAATAGTTAGTGGGAAGGCATAATAGAAAGAGAAACAATATCAGCTGGTTTTACCTCATCTTTATTCTGCTTTGTATAAAAATGATTTGTCTATTTCATCAAGGTGGTGGCTGAAATAGGTTAGGAAGATGGCAAACTTTTGTCAGCTCTTCTTCATGTTTCACTACTTGAGACAGGAGTTGAAAACCACATGATAAGAGTTCAATTTGCATGCAGATAGCAACTGACTGAAACACCAAATGAGGCTCATTATATTAGGTTATCTGACAGACATAACTTTTGCAAATCCTTCTAGTTATATTTTTAATTCTCTAATTTCTTTATTAGATAGGATCATTTGGCTTGTCCAAATTCCTTTTTGGATCAGTTTCTGTTTTTTTTTTTCAGTCATAGTAAGTTTTACAAATGGCTCAAATGATCTCTCCTATCATCAAATATGGTCACTTTTATTGACACAAAGAAAATAAACCAAAAATATAGACAGACAGATAAAGAAAAAGATAGTTAAATAAATAGATAATGTGGAATTCATGGTAGGGTTTGTGAATGACCTCACCATGAATTTATTACCAAATATGGACATAGTATCCCTATGTCCATATTTGGTAATAAAACTGAACAATGCAAGATTTCAACCTAAAACATACTAAAACAAACACCAGTGTCAAGTTGCAGTCAATTTATATTAACAATGAAAATTGGGCATAAACTTTTGCAACGATCTGATATTTGCTTGTAAAATCATATTCTAGAGGATTTTTATCTTGCCACAATATCAGATCTGGTTTTTAATCATCTCTACCAAACTGATAATGATAAGCTATGGCATTATCCCAAAGCAAAGTCTTATTCTCACATAAAAAAAAATTGATTAGCTCTATTGCCTCCTTTGTCTTCCATATAATTGATTTCCTAGGGTAGTAGTAGGAGTATCCTCAAAGGATTGTTTTTTGGGTTAGGAATAGATAATCAAACGGGGTTACCAGTTTCATGATAAATTTAATTTAGCTTTGATTTTTATAGCTGATAGAAATTTTTAAGTGGCTGCTCATTTAATACAGACCAAATTAAATATTTATTAACTTAAATTGTTATAATTCTCAAAAATGTGTTTAATTACATATTTCATTGTGAGGCTAACAAAATATTGTTCATAAGGATAAATAATATATATAATTTATAAATACTAAATATATATAAAACTACCAATATGAATATTATATATAGTATACTAGCAGAATACCTGATGTTGCCCAGGAACCACGGAACTTATTTTGGAAACCAACTGATTACAAGAAAAATAATATTAAATCATCATGGCAATTGTGACAGAATATTTTGTAAAGGAAAAGAAATACAAAATTCAAAGAAACAACTTCACTTTTATTACCAAAAACAGTTGAGTGAGGGTAAGGTTTTCATGATAAAAATTTATTATCAATTTGGGTCTCTTTTATCAGTTTTTGGTATACTTTTTCACACATTTTCAGCTTTCCAAGCATAGAGATTTGGGATCTAACAGCCCACATAGTCCACAAATAATTTCTTTTATATGGTGTTTAAGAAGCTTTGGTTTGCACATATTGAGCCTTTTTCATTAATGGACATATTTATTTTAAACCTTGTGTTTTAGCTGCAACACAGCAAAAACAACAGTGAGGTTTTTGTTAGAGCAATATTATTAAAATGCTCTTAATTAAAGAATAAAGCATTTTCTAACCTAATTGGCAACTTAAAAGTGTTGGGGGTCTGCATTCACACTTACCTTGATAATAATAAACTGATTTTTGTATGTTTGTATACTTTTTACAAAATCTGTAAATAAAGTCATATCACCATTGAAAAAGGAAAAGATGACTAATTGTTGCTTAAGAAAATTAGCTTGTAAAAAAAAAAACACATTTTTATTATATATTTTATATAGAAATTTTTTTTTTTTTAAAAATGATTAATCTTTTCATTTTTTGTCTCTTCCCTCATGAACAGCACTACACTTTATTAGAAAAAAAACATTTGTCTAAATTGTAAGCATGAATGTTCAAAAATCATTTACACTAGACGCCTGTTAATTAGGAATTAGTAGAAGTACAAGTAAAGCTAATTTTAAATGTAGTTGGTGTTTGGTTAATTACAGACTAGTCTTCCTTTATTTACTTACACACTTTAGTAGAAATTTTTTTTTTCTAAATTTTAAGAATCTATGTTAAAAATCATTTAACTATAAACGCCTGCTGATTAGGGGTTAGGGGAAATACAAGTAAAGCTAACTTTAAATTTTAAATGTAGTTCAAGTTTGATTAATTACACAATAGTTTCCTTTATTTTTTTGAAAATTATTACAATATTGATGTAATGGAATAACCTGTCACCCCCATGAGTGACTACACTATAGGTAGTAACTACCTATAAGTATCCGTAAGGCAACAGACTACAGGAGTCTAACTGGGATCTGTTGAGTACAACTCAGACTTCCGCAAGAACTACCAACCTTTCAATAGCAACACTCACTACTGGATTGACTTGCGACCTTATTTCTTATTGTACTGGTTTTTACCATAAACCTTTACTTATTTTATCCACTGTGTTTGTCAAGTATATATTCCTATTAGCATGGAATATAACAAATATAAATTCTACTAATAGTAAGTGATCTAACATTGGGCCTTTGAGTATAATACAAAAATAAACTGAACAATAATATAATGTTAATTAATGAGTATTTATAAGTCACTAAGATTTCAACCAAATTTTGTGTATGAATTTTGCATTGAATTTAAAAGACCAAAAACTTGAATTACATTTTAAAAAGTTAGCTGTAAATTAAAAATGCTAGTATAAAGACTTAGTTAACTTTTCCATAGATTTATTAGTCAAATTTTATTGTACTGTATCTTGTTTTATCATTTTATAATTGAGCTATTAAATAAGTTTGATGAATTATGCTTAGATGTTGATTTGTTTTTTAATATACAATCTTTTTCAAATTTTTAATTCCAGTATCTCTTGCATAAAGTTTAGAATGAATCTGTTTAGGTAGCTCAGAGAAATAGAGGTACACTCACATGCATTCATTATTATCTTGTAGACATTATATTACAATCAGAAACAATTATTTTTGCAAGTTCTTAATGCATAATAATATCTCAGTCATCTTCTTTTTTATGCAGGTCAGTGGGAGCAGATTCTGGGCTTTGTTCAAGTCAATATGTAAGACACCTGAAAATTTCTTTAAGGATTGCTTTGTGCACAATGTTTGTCCACTTATGTTCATGAAAACATCTTCCAAAAATGTTACTCCACCTCAACTCAAAGCTGAAGAACGCAAACAGCTGACTGCAGTCTGTAACAATTCCTTCTGCAAGGCAATCAAACTACTTAATGTGAAACTGATCATTGGAGTTGGCAAGTTTGCAGCAGACACTGCTGCCAATGCCTTGAAGAATACAAATTCATCCTTTGAATGTTCTAAGGTGAAAATTAAATCCATTATGCACCCAAGCCCTATTAATCCTGCAGCAAATAAAGGCTGGGAAGCAATTGCAAAAAAATCTTTAAAAGATCTCAATATTTTGGATTATACAGACTGGATTGAATTAAAAAATGTGTGAATGTATTTTGTATAGTTGGATTGTAACCAATAAAATGTTCTTACTTGCATATCTTCAGTATATTTTATATAATATTATGTAGACCAAAAAGTTCTGTTTTTGTCATTAGATGGTAAAAAGAGCAATAATTAACTTTATTGTGACATTTTTATTTATTAATCCTAGCACTAGAGACTGAAGAAAATGGAATGCTGTTTTATTTTAAGAAAGAAAAAAAATGATTTGTGCAGCTAACTGAAAAAGTAAATATTTTGTTCAATATGATCAAAAATAAAATATTAATCTTTTAGTTTTATTTATAATAAAAAAAACAAAAAACTAAAGAGAAAAACAAAAAAAAAACAAGAGAAAAAATGGAAAAAAGAAAAACAAAAAGAAACAACTTTTTGGCCAACCCAATATATTCCCTTGCAAAACAAAGAATGTGCTTCCAAAATTCTCAGCCAAGATGCCTGGAATGCTTTAAGCAAAATAATATAAATAAATAATTTATAGCCTACTGACTCTCAAAGTTTATCAAAAAAGGAGTGTCACAAATAATTATTTTAGAAAAAAATATTCTGTCAGCTCAAAACTCCTGAAATTATCTTCAAAAGTTTAGAATAGTTTGTGATACCAGTGATGTGTGGGGAAGCATAACAGTTACCAGTATGAAAAGTGGGATCAGCAAACAGAGTTCAATACTTGTCTGTTGTGTTCACTTTGTACTAATACCCTTAAGAAAGGCATGAATCCAATTATTCTCCCTTTAGTTATAAGTTGAATAATAGGGTAGATTGGACTCTCTAGCTAGGAAAAGAATGCATGGTAATTCACAACTAAAAAATAAATCTGTGGAGAGCCATTATTGTCTTTGTCCTGAAGGGATACAGCATTTAAATTTTTAAAACAAAAAAAAAAGAAAGGGTAACCATAACCATAATTCCCAAGCCTCAAATTGGGATAGTTTCTATTTTTTTTTATTATAGTTTTAGTTTCCCTGTATAATAAAGTGTTTTCATGACCTGACTTTTTACTGTATTATTTTGCCATTGCCTGCTGTCAGTTATTTGATAGTCTATCATGTAAATATATGCAGCAGCTTCAACAAAGCTGAAGAAATAATTTGGTCAAGTTTTAAGTCATGAGCTCTCAGATGAAGAAGAGTTTTAAAGAAAAAACTATCATCATTGTGGATTTTTAGATTGGCTTAGAATGAAAACTTGGAATTAAAAAAAGTGTATGTTAAATGCTGAATTTAATATTTTAAAATTTACTTATGAATATAAATTTGAAAATGTTCTTGTTTTGAAAGTTCATCTACTTATAAGAACTTTATTTGTCTATGAATTAATTTTATTTATGCAACTTTGCTGTTGTAAATAAGAATTAAATTTACTGTATCAACTTAGAAGAAATAACACATCATTGAAAAGATTTTTGAGGATCTGAACATTTCATAAATATAAACTCATATATGACTCTTTAATGTCAAATTTTTCAACAATTCTAAGGTTTTTTAATATAATCCAGCAAACTTTAAAACTATAGACTATAGTATTTTTCCAAACCTTTTCTTATGATTATAATTCCAGAAATTGTTGATGTAAATTTAAAACACAAAAGAAGAAATGCCAGATTAGAGAATTTTTTAATCAGTTTACCCCAATATAATGCCACTAAGATGCAAGGGGCTACTGAGGCTGAAAGAGAATGAGAAGACTTTAGAAGGAACTGGAAACCCAATCCTAAACAGGGAACAAGGGATAAACTTCTATTGCTGTTACAAAGACTGAAGAGGAGGGTGATATCTACTTCTATTGAGGAAAAAAAAAATAGTAAATAAAATTTAAAGTTTAGGCAGATACATTAGAAGTATAGAGTTGAAGTAGACTTTAGAAGAAACTGGAAACCCTATACTAAACAAGAAACAAGGGATAAACCTCTGCTCTTGTCCAAAAGACAAGGGAGGAGTGTGAACTGAATGGTAGGTAAACCTAACTACTATTGAGAAAAAAATAAATAATAAATAAAATTTCAGTGTTTAGGTGGAGATGTTAAAAGTATAAAGTTGAAGTAAACTTTAGAGAATAAAAATACTTTAGAAGGAACTGAAAACCCAATCCTAAACAGGAAACAAAGGATATTCCTCTACTCCTGTTTAAAAGACTGTGTGAATGAGATAATAGGCAAACATATCTACTATTATTACAAGAAAATAAGAATCATAATACATATCAATATACTTATAGTATACAAGGTTGCCAAAGTGGTGGGTTACTTTTGAAAGTACATTTTGAATTTGGTTACATTTTGAGTTACTTTTCAAATAAGCTGGGCTAACTTTATTTACTAATAAGAAGAAAATCAATTGAAAATGTCACTGGGTTGGCCTTTCAAATTTGGCCCAATCTAGCAACTATGATATATTATAGCAATGTGAACATATAACCATGGCTCTTGGACAGTTTTTCAGCTTCACACCACAATGTATTTTGTTTCCAGTTTGCATTGGTATAATAAAAAATTGGGAAATTGTGTACATTCAACAAAAGAACAGAAGGTGAAATATTACCACATTGAAAAAAGAAAACATAAATCTTACTTTCGATATATATTGGTTTCTTTATTCATATATTGTGACTGGTAGGTAGGTAGAACATCTTCACTGCTACTTCTATCTTCTCTCATGAAAGTCTAATGAACCAGATCTTCATTTTGGCCAGCAAGAACTTCAACTGCCCTTGTGCCCATCTCTGATTGCAGTCTTCCCATCTCTACATCACGATAGACATCTTGTCACTTACTGACTACCTTCTGACTGAGTGATACTTGATCCCAAAAGTTTAATTTATTTACTTTTTCCGTACTTGTGGGCAGCTTTGAAAATCTCTCTTCTAGATTTTACTTGTTGTTGTCATAAAACACCAGTCACTTCAGGTTCAGATAAAATCATTTACAACTCATTTGACTATGTGAGTGTTCTAAACCAGTTGAGAGGGGGCCCAATTGTGTCGTCATAGGAATATACTATCATCAGATTTTAAAAAAATATAAGAATTGTAAATTCTATTATCTTTCCTTTACATATTTAATTTTTAAGTTAAAATTGATAATTAATAGTATTTGTTTTTTTTTTAAAATGAAGAAGTTGAATATTATGCTGCTTATACTACCTTCTCTAATTTTTTTCTTTTACTCACCATTATCACTGAGAACTCATTGCATCTAACCTACATATCTGCTAACAAAATACCTGAAAGTTAACATTGTTCTGTCAGGTACTTTATTTTATTCACAGCTGTTCCTGGGTCAGTCACATGCCTGATACTATACTGTTATTGTTGTTCATAGCATTACTATGATTATAATCATTATCTACTTCAAATTATGCTGCATATGATCTGAACAATATATGTTTATTTAATTGTCTGTGTCTGTGTGTGTGTGTGTGTGTGTATATATATATATATATATATATATATATATATATAAGTGATAGAAATTATTAGGAGGATTTGAGATAATCATAATTAAGTAATTCATCAAGTCTAGAAGAAACCTCAACAGAATATAGAAAGCACTGGACGTCTGTTTCGTCCTGCATTTGTGTGTGTGTGTGTATATATATATATATATATATATATATATATAATATATATATATATATATATATAAGCAAATATATGGATATAAATCCAACAGTATGAAGAAAAATATATACAGAAAAAACAAACAAAAATCCTTATATACAATTATGCTGTTTTAATGTTAATATAAAACTTTCAGTTATCTGTTTGGATAAGTCTTGTTCTTATGTACATCGTCTTTGTTATGTTGTATTGATAATGTTATAATTTATGAATATGTCCTGAAGATGGTTTATTAGACCGAAATGTCCAACGTTGACATATTAACATTAAAACAGCATAATTGTATATAAGGATTTTTGTTTGTTTTTTCCGTATATATTTTTCTTCATATATGTATGTATACTCCAACAAAAATTTGTGTATGATTCTTTTCAAGCTTGGATTATTTAAAAGAAATAATTGGATAATGTTTAGAAGAAAGAGAACAAAAACAGGCTATGAACAAGACTTTTTCTATAACAACATAAAAGATAATAGTTGGGTATCTATTTTTGCCAAACTTGGACTTTTGTGCCCACAAAAAAATGGAGTGTCAAAAGGACAGTTTTTCCCTTGACACCACTATTATTTTAACTACCTTCACTCCTCACCAATGTTTATTGTTTTAAGAACCAAGGACTAGAATTTTAATAAAGCCTAAACATATGATGAAAGTGGATTTATACGTATTTTTGTTCTTGAGAATTTACAACAAAAATATTAAACACTATTTATTTATAAGATTTATAAGATTGTTTATTTACAAGAATAATTTTATATTTACAAAATTTTAAAAACTAATACAATTAAAATATTTAAAAATATTTAGCATTTCCCAATTTATAAACAAATAAATATGAAAACAATTTTTTATTCATAAATTTATAAACATTTACTAAATTATTAAAATATGTGAACCGACTACAAGGAAATCCTTATTGTTTACTAGTTTATAAAGTTCAAATCAATTGGCAATTAGCTGATGTTTTGTCAACCATTCCAATAAACAATATAATAAATAATGTAAATAACACTGTGCTGCCCAGGGATTGAACTCACAATGACTATGTCACCAAATTTATGAATGCTTGTGTCTACCAAGATGAAAGAGACAAGTGTTTCAATACTGATCAATGTTCCTTTCTGTATGTTCTTGTATAAGCCATTTTCTGAGCTTCTGAATGTTTTCTAAGGTTTATTAAATGATATACAGTTGGCAAATTGTAAAAAGCAATACGTGGAGTTTATTTCACTACTAAGATTTTCTTAATATTGTGTAAAAGATGAGGCTGGAAATTTTTTCATTAACCTAGTCTATCTACCTGCCTACTGCCTCATGACACATAATGCCTCCACAGAATGTCTCAACTCTGCAGCTGCCATTTGTGCCTTATCCTAAGATCACCAGCCTTCTCTTTCACCATGTAATTCTTTGTCTTCCTCTTCTCCTTTTACCTTTGGGGTCCCATATCAGTAGCACATTGCTGTTGTTGTTTGAGTCTGGCCTTAAATGTAGCCAATAAAGCTCCATCTTCTTCTCTGTGCTTCAAAACAAACGGGGCATCTACAGAGGTATTCAGAAACAGTTCTGCAGTATTCACATGGTCTTGCTATCTAATCTTGAGGATCTTTTTAAATCTAGGTACCTCCACTTTTTCGGCATAAATTTTTGATACCTAAAGTTTAAAATGAATTTCTAAAAATGAAAAAGCATTCTTGAAGATTTATTTTAGCTTTAATTGAAAGCTAAAGGATTAAATTTATTATTTCCAGTAAGTAAAATATTCTGATGTATTTCAGATAGAAATTATATAGATTGGAATGTCAAATTTAATTTTGATTTCTTAAAATTTTCTTAAAAGTGGCCATTTTCTTAATTTTAAAAAATTTGTAAACCAAAACAAATTTATCGATTTTAAAACTCTTCCAAAAATTATATATTTATTTCTGACACATTATTTGAGTAAAATTAGAAAATTTAAAGTTAAATTAATCTGATTTGAAATAAATATTACTTATAAAATAAAAAGTAATATACAATCATTTCTTAATGATTGGCCCTGTTTATATGAGGTGATGATTGATGGATGATTGATTGATTGACAAAGCAATGACCAGAATTGACATAAATTTATGAAATCTAAGTGAATACTTTTTTTTGTTTTTTAACTACCTAGTAATTTTTACAAATGAACATATTTTCTACAATTATCTAAAAATTTATTAATTTTTATTTACCTTTCAAAGATGCTTTATGTAAAAATCAAAAAAAATTAAAATACTATAAAATCTTCTTAAATTAATTTCCCTGTAAAGAGACAAAACTCTTAGACCATTTCATAATAATGTCACGTTTAGCCTTTCATAGATGAAAAAAGGGAAAAATTAAGTAAAAAAATAAAAAAATTATTTTAAAAATAAAATAGTGTAACTATATTTATTAATCTTTTCAATTTTGGATTTGTAAATTTCGTTTCTACTTAATTACTATATCACATCCAGGAAATAGCCTAATATGGAATTTTACATGATTTTAAACTATTATAAATTATTATAATTAAAATTTTAAAAATATAAAAAAATTCTTGTAAAAATTCATTATTCATTGAAAAATTTTATTTCTTCAGACAACAGTGTCCTTAATATAACTTATTTACAAAAGCAATTAAAATGTTTTCTAATTAAATAATGTCATAGTTTTATTGCATCTATTATTTTACAATCCAGAGCAGATTTTCAGTTAGAATAGTGAAAGTTTGAAAAAACAAATTAGGTGATTTAAATTCTCCAAGGAGTCTTACTTTTACCAAATAGAAACATTCAAGAAATAGAAAGTTTTTTGTGAAATTTCATGAAATTAAGTGAGTGGTAACATATGTAAATAAAAATATTTTTACCAAAATTTCTACAAAAAAAATTTCAAAAATAATTTCATTCATTTGTGAATAAGTCCTGAAAATTTCATTAAAATCCAACAATTACTTGATTTTTACAAGAATTTTCAAATCAATGTATTTTCAACAGAAAAAAGTCAATGTAATTATTATGTCACCCGATGACATAAACAAAACAAGATTTTTAACCAAAAAAAGATTAAAAAATTTCAAAAAATAATCAAAAAATCCTTTGGTCCTTCATCTTAATAATAACATAAACATTTTGACAATAAAACTTTATTTTTATTAAAATTTAAAGTTCATTTGTGGCCTTTTTCATTACACTATGCTGTTTTTCTGTGAAAAGTGGAGGTACCTATCTTAATCTGTTATGAAATAGGTCAGTAAAATTGTCATCTACCTAATCCATTTTCCAGGTTTATTAATCTAATGTTGATCTATATTTAATTTTCATTCATAGAATTATTATTACTATACTAGAGTATTGCCTGCCATATGTTAATGTTTTATTGGTGGAAATATACTTTTCTGCCATTGTGTATAATATCAAATTTCGTTATATTTTGTAATCTATGCTTCAGCTTCTCATGATATTCTCATAAATCTAAACACTTTTATCACATATGGGTAAAGAAAACTAAAAGCATAACCTGACATGTTTTGTGTTAGAAAGCAACAGACACTGGCATTTATAGATATAAATTTACCAGCTTATAAGATGCAAAATCATTTTACAAAAGTATATTGTAATGGATTTTACTTATTTGCATATGTTGGTTATAGGAAAAATAAAGTATAGAATAAAAAGTCAGATGGGAGTGTGTTGACTACTGATCACATGTCATAGAACAACACTATATAACAGTATGGCATCACCAATAGGATGTTTAAGTCACTTGGACACACCAGAATTTTGTAATGAGGATTTATGAAATTGGTTGAGACAGATTGGCTGCTTCCTTTACAAAACACCACTATATCACCCACAATCTAATGTGATTGCAGAAAGAATGGTGCAGACAGTAAAGATGGGATTGAATGCATTTTCCTGAAGTAGAGATACTATAGATAGTTACTTACCAAGGTTACTGCTTAGTTATAGGACAATTCCACATGCAGACAGATTGCAAGGCCTATCTTCATTAATGGGAAGACAAGATCTCTTAACAATGTCTTATTTGACAAATGAAAAGATGTGGTATAAAAAAAGACAAATTTGAAAGTTCTGAGAGAGCTAATTTCATCATGCTTAGGGGACATAACACGACCATTAATCATAGAAAGGAAAAAGCCTAATGGCTCATTCTGATCAATTAACACCCAGAAGTGAAGAGGGAGATGTTTTGATGGAAGATCTTGAAAAAGAAAGGATTTCTTCAAATCAGGATAATTTAATAAATGAGCCTATGAATGATAGCAGGAGTTAATCATACATGGAAGAAAATGAGATGAGACCAAGATCTCCATTAAAAAGAACAGGATGTAAACCTCAAGGGGGGAGAGGAAGAAAGAGGTTATAGAAGTTGAGAACAGTAAAAAGCATTAAACCTCTTTGGTTCAGGGAGATGTAATGGGATTGGCAAATAGGATTTTACCTATTTGGATATGTTGGTTATAAGAGAAATAAAGTATAGAGTAAAGTCAGACAAGAGTGAGTTGACTACTGATTACATGTAAAACAACACTATGCAACATATAATTAAAGTATTGTTCTATACAATTCATCCTGATTCCTTGATCCTCCATTTGTAATCACAACACATTGAATACATTTTGTCTAATATATTTTATAGTTTGACAAATTAGGTAAATAATTAGAATGATGGAGGGCCTGTCAGAAAATAACCTACATTGAGTATACAAACTATAGCATAAAAAGGTAGCTGTCTATTGAATATGCATAAATTATATGATTTCACTGATAGAATATAAAATAACAGCATTAGAAAATGCTAAAAAATTAATTTGGTTCAAGGGCTGAGCAATAAAGTCAAGTCTCATTTTAAAGTTTCCTTGTATAATGTTGCTCTACACAATTTATCCTGGTTCCTTAATCTCCCATTCATAACCTAGCCTGCCTGCCAAGTGCCTCATGGCACATAAGACCTCCAAAAGAATGTCTTTTCCTCAGCTCTATCCACAGTTGGCGCTTGCACCTCACCTCCATGGCTACCAGCCTATTGCTTCCCTTTCCTTTGCCATGTCATTCTTACTTTTTCTCTTTTCTGCAATCTTCACATGATCTTGCCCTCTAAGTTGTTGTTATGAAGTAGGTCAATAAGCATATCTCTCAAATTCATCCTATAGGTCTGGCAACCATATAATAGGATGAAGATGACAAAGGACTTATAAAGTTGGGTCTTGGTGCTTCAGTTTATATTAGTTGCATCCCACGTTTTATGTGTTAGAAAGCAAGACACTGACATTTATAGATATAAATTTACCAGCTTATAAAATAAAAAATCATTTTGCAAAAGTATATAATTAAAGTATTACTCTATACAATTCAACCTGATTCTTTAATCTTCCATTTGTAACCAGAACACATTGGATACATTTTGTCTAATATATTTTATAGTTTGACAAATAAGGTAAATAATTAGAATGATGGAATGCCTGTCAGAAAATAACCTGCCTTGAGTATTCAAACTAGAGCATATAAAGGTAGTTGTCTATTGAATATGTATAAATTATAAGATTTCACTGATAGAATACAAAATAAAAGCATTAGAATTCAGTTTAAAAAATAATATGGTACAAGGTTTGAGCAGTAAGTCTGATTTTAAAGTTTCACTGTATAATGTCTGATGGATGTAATTAATCATCATTGAATTAAGTATATTAACAACGAAGGAGATTATGTTGAAAATTAAATATTTGTTATGTAAAATAAATGCTTTGGACTTATTGAGGTGACTATGTATAATGTTGACATATATGTAGGTATTTTCAAATATCTCAAGAAATTTATTTTTTTATGAAAAAACTTTCATGATTTTGTTAAAACAAACATTGACTAGATTCAACTAATTACAACAGCTTCTGAGATTGATGCAATTCATTTTTAGATAGATACAAGGAAATGCTGAATGTCTGATCAAAAACCCTTCCCAGCAAAAATCTGATGTTTGGTTAGTTGATCAGAAAGCTCACATCCATTGTTTGGTTTCCATAAACGTTTAACAGGTATCAATGAATGTCAGTAGGTTCAATGTTTTCTTCATGGAGAAATTCAATATTACACCTGCTTTGTATATGCTTTCATGTCAGATACCATTTTGTCAGACTGCTTTCTTTACCAAATCAAAAAGTATTACATATTATTGGCAGAAAATCTCAAGTTCTACTGCCATTCCATCAACATCTACTTCTGACATTGTGGACCCATATGATAAAATAGGAAACATTACTTTTGAAGTTAACCTCTGTATGTATATGTGTATGCATATATATCCCTGTTTGGCCCCATTTTCTACCTTAAAAGATTCAGTAAGTATGCCTCTCATATTTGCACAAGCTTCCATGTCATCATGAAATATTTTCGCCAGACTAACAAAGTATGTAGAACATCCCAGCTCAAGCAAAATATGCAGCTTATGGTCACATCATGTTAAAACATTGGTTCCTGTACAATCACTGAAAATAAGCAGCATTGAGCCTAGATGGTTGACTGTGAATACCAGGTGCTGTAAACTTGGTTGTATGAGTGGTGTAATGGATAATGGCTTGGAATTGTTAATCGGAGAGCTGAGTCCCAATTCCCATTGGGTTCATTATATTCACTTATACACAAATACTCTTGGGAAAGGTATAAATCCACCTCTTCTCCTCCAGCTGTGTGTTAATTAATAAGACTTGTATCATTAAACCATATTAGAAAAAAAATATTCTTACAATCTAAAAATATTTCCTGTCTTTAAATCACATGCAAGCAGTTGATTAGCCATAAAAAATGATATAGAAAATGATGTCAGGCACGGAAATATTCTTGGGCCAACATTATTTTCCATATAGTTTTCTGTTTTCTTAGCAAATGAATTTAAGACTTGACAACCATAGAATTTATGTGCAATATAGAATCACAGATAAATTATTCAATCTCAGGTATTGATCTTGGTAATCCATATACATGTCCTAATTTTTTAGATGGTTGATACTCCACTGTAAAATCATAGTTGAATAAGATGTTACCCCAGCATTGTAATCTATTAGCTGTATAATAAAGGCCTGTGGTCTGTTTGCAACCTAAAATTTCTTCCATGAATAAATTTATTAAATTTCTTCACAGCAAATATAATTACTAGAGCCTCTTTTTCAATCTGGCTGTAATATTTCTCTGCTGGTAGAAGTGAGTGTGAAGCATGAGCAAAAGCTTTCATTTTATCATTATCGTATTTGTGTCAAATTACTGTTTCAATATCATACTCATTAGCATCTGATGCTACTACAATTTCTGCTTTTGGATCATAGTATGCTAATGATAAATCTGACGTAAATCTTTCTTTTATTTCGTCAAACACTTTTTGACAGTTATCATCCCATTAGACTTGATAATGGGTAGCTATGCATTTCTAAACAACTGTTTAATCTTGTTAAAAAGATAAACTTCTGTTTTAAGGAGAGTGGAAACAATTTTTCTTTCCTTTTCTAATTCTTGAGTGGTCTGGTCAATTGAAAAATCACAGCATAGGACAAGCTGATGAAAAAAGATTAATGATTGAAAATCCCTTTTGTTTTTAATATGCCATCTGTAAATTGGATTTGTCCCACCAGCCCTAGGAGAAGGCTAAGGTTAGCTGCTGAGAAAGTAGGAGAGAGCCTGTGTGGAGCTATGGTGCAAGGTGAGGCATGAGGGTGTTGGAGTTAAAGGGTTGCTTGATTCCTCTGACCACTCTCAAAAGGGGGCTGGACAACCCCAAATTTAGAAAAACACTTAAGTAGATGTATTTTTATATATGGAAATTTAGAAAAGGTTGATGCTTAGGATAAAAGACAACCAAACCCAAACCCTAGTCAACTCCACTCCTACCAGACACAGGACTCCATATGTTGGAGATTTTGGATAGCCGAGAGAAAGAGAGAGAGAGAGAAAAACACACAGAGAATCTCCACACTACTGCTAGTTTTTTTGTGTAGCTTCAGTTTTCAAACCGGCTTTACTTCAGTTTGCTTCATCAACGATCTTCTCACTCTCTGAGATCAAAAAACATAACATGGCAGAGGAGTGAGTGATCATGAAGAAACAAACATCAACTAAGTCTAGTGGAACCATACTTACCATCATGATATCAGCAATAACGAGTCATGCACTAACGTGAAGAGTCAGCTAAATGGTAACCACAGCAGTCTGAAGGAACTTGGAGGCCAACAAGTGTGGTTACATATTTGGTTACTGCTGATTAGGGCTAACAGTGGCATTATATATCAGCATCAGACTTATTGATGTAACTATATACTTATTTAGATAACAACAGGCATCATAAAATTTTACAATTATTACAACCTGGACAATATTTGTAGAAGAAAGGTTTACCAAGTTATTATTTGCTTACTTTCTTCTCCATCATTGTGGCATACCAGAGACATGATATTTTTTGTCAAGAGATCTTGTGATGAACTGAAATCTGTTTGTGGAAACTGAATAGAAGCAGTTTTAGGTGTAATTCAAGCTTGTCTTACTGATTCTGTATAACTGAGTCAAATAATGATCATGCTAGTCCCACGTTCAACAATAATAATTTGTAATAAATTAAAATATATTTTGTAATTTATTAAAGAGATAATGCATCTTATTCTACCATCTTCTGAATAAGAGTGTGTATGTGAGTGTGTAAATATAATTGACTGAACATTTCATCTATAAAAAACTAAAAACATTTTTTTTTCAATTTGATATTCGCTTGAATTTTGACCTTTGATATTTTCCTTCTCCTATGGTTGTTATTCAATATATAATGTAGTCATTATAGATTTTACTTGTAAAACAATCAGCACTATTAATTAATCTGCTAAAATTTTTTTTTTCAATCAAAATTTCTTTTGTTATATTTTTCTTTAGCCACAATATACTGGAATTTATAACAAAATTCAGTTTTGCATATTTAAATAAGCTTAAGGATGAAAAGCTTACAACCATATCAGGTTGTAATACTGATTCTTGTCCAATCACCAAAGTTAAGCAATGTCAAGCCTAGATGGGTGATTGTTTGGAAATACCAGGTGTTGTAAGATTAGATGTACAGGTGATGCAATGGATAATGGCTTGGGGTGAAAAACACTCTTGGGCAATCATGAATTGGAAAGAGACACAGTCACCCAAGCTTGTCACATCCACCCCTGACAATATACATCAGGTCAGCATGGTAGGTTAATGGGCCCATTCCTCTCCATGAATCTGGGAAAGGTCTTTGTCCAACAAAGGACCTTCACAGACTGAAAGGAAGAATGATCAAAAGTATTTTAATTTTTCACAGAACTTTACACTAAAGTTTATTTCAAGCACATTTCTTATGACTCATATGACTCAACTAGATTATCATTTTTATTATCTATCATGTCATTATCAATACTATTGGACTGTATCTTTTGTTTAGGTTGTTATAATAGTAAATATAAATATTGAGATTTTGACAATTTTGAGGCATTATCATAAACTAGACTTTGAAGCCACTGAAATTTCTCAGAGTATTCAAGAAGTAAAAAAGAATGAAATAATACCCAACTGTATTGCCCAAACCTGGCTTTTCATTTTCTGATGAAGATTTAATAAAAGTGAAACATGTTAAATTTCTAAACATTTCCTATTCGTTCTTTATCCTCTCATTCTGTTGGATTCAATATTTGATCCCAAGTCATATGTTTTGTATATGGAAAAAAGTGTATTGGTCTCATCCCAGAAAATAAGTACAAACAAAAAAAGAATTGTGTATTTAAAATCAAAGTAAAAAGTGTGTTTATTGTAAGATAATAAATCTAAAAAATAATATTCATTTTATAAAAGTATCAGATTTTTTTTTAAATTATAGAATCAGGAAACTTTAAAACTTAACATTATGCTTAGCCCCCTTTTAACATCTGATTTATCTCCCTTCCAACTTTTTTTCTGACACCATGACTGACAATGAGTATAGTAGCTATTTATTGTTATTATTTTTAAACTATTCCAAAACTTCATTTTCCATGTTGTTAAGTGTTGAGCCATATCTGCATCTCTAAAATCTGGATTACTTTGCAAAAGTTTTG